ATACAAGTGACTCACTGCATCTTTAGCCTTGGAATGACTTCGGGACAGAAATTATATTTTTTCACCTTTGCTAGGACTGTGGTTCTCAGTCAGGGTGATTGTACCATCCAAGACACTCACTGATGTCTGGAAACATTTTTGGTTTTCACAACCTGGGAGAGCAATGAGCTAATGGCATTCAATAAGCACAGACCAAGGATGTAGTAGAATCCTACATGTACAACATTCCTCCAAGAAAGAATTATCCAACTCAAGATGCCCCCACGGTCAGGTGTGGTGATGAATGCCAGTAATCTCAGCTACTCAGAGACTTAGGCAGGAAAATCACAAGTTTAAGCTCAGTCTAGCCAACTCAGTGATACTTTGTCTCAAAAATGAAAAGTGCTAGGAATGTAGTTCAATGCAAAGTTCTGGGTTCAGTCTCCAGTACTGCAAATAAATGAAAAATAATCAAGCCACCACCACTGCCATCACCACCACCACCAACAACAACAATAGCAACAAAATCAGCAATGAAAGATACAAGTTAGTAAGTTGAGGGTAAGATAAAATGATTTAGAATAAAATGTAACATAGGATACATAATAATCAATGCTAATTTAATATTTTCATAATCAGACTGCTATGGCTGTGAATTGAAGCACATATCATTTTATATTTACTTTTCTCCTATAACTGTAAGCTTATGTCATAAAATACTCATCCTTTTGGAAAAATAACAAGGAAAAACTTTCAACCGCTATAGTATGTCAGGGAAGAGTTTTAGGGGATGGGAGTCATCTGGAATGTGAGTGTTCCCTGAAGTAACCTTGGCTGCTTGCCTTTCTGCAGGGAGGTTAACGGTCTCCTGAGAAGAGGGTATATAGAGACAACCGCTAACACCCACGGGCTGACCTCTGCCAGAGTATAACCAAGTCTGGGAATGGTCATTGCAGCAACAGAGGCCTGCTGGCAAGAATTCAATTTTGTCTGAACACAGTACATGTGGAACTAAGAAATGGGCGAGGCACAGTCTTTTCTCTCCTGCCTGCTGAAGACTCTACTCTATCTCATGCAAGATTCTTCCCTAGAAGATTCCCCTTCATTTTTGGTGCTGTCCCCTGCTTCATTATGTGGTAATATATTATTAGATTATGCTCATGCCTGCTGTGCTTTCAAAAGAAGCTTGCTTTTGTCTTTTCAAAAACATTGTGTGGCTGTTCTCTGTGCATGCGGAGCCAAACTTCAAATTTCTGTGGCCATGTATATGTGACTCCCTGCTATCCCAAAGGCCCCAGAGGTGACAAGTGCTAAGTGATTCACACATTCAGTATCACACTGGTATTTTGATCCAGTGTTTACACATACATGTAACCCATATGGCCTTAATTTGTATTCAGTGATATTTGTGTGATAACCTGTATATTTTACTGTATAACTGCTTCAAATTTTAGGAGGTCCTGATTTCCGCAGCTTGTACATATCAGAGAAGTACTATGTAAGATTCTTATATTTCTGGCCCTGAGACATAATGATAACAGAAGTGATGTTTTTCTAAAAAGTGTTTTTTAAAGAATATGTTGACAACATGAAAGAGAACCCCAGCTTGATTCTACTAGTTACTCATGGCAGGGATGAAGGTTGAGGAGCTCTGGATGGTTCTCCAGCTGAGAAGACTGTCAGCAATCATTTGAAGGTATCCAGTTCCACTATTTGCTTATGGGGACCAGGAAAGCTAAGAAGAGCTAGACAATGCAAAAGCCACCAGCAAGAAGCAAATTATTGCTGGGCTATCTATTTCTTATTTGAATGTCTCAGCACTTATTTTGGAAAGCAGTCATGCAAAAAAATGTACACTGCCTTCCTATTCCATTGCTTCCTGATCAGAATCTTACTCCTAAAAGGGGTTCTGATATAGATGAAGAAAATCAGAGAGTATAAAATAGTTGAAGGTGTCTGAACATCTATACATCTTTTAAGATGTATCCCTCCTCCCAACCTGCTAAGGCAGCAGCTCATTATGTGTTTTCTTATAGCAGAGACACAATTTCTTACTGGGGTCTTTGTAAACGGCTTCATCATGGTGGTGATGGACTTCATCAAGCAGAGACAAACGACCTCTTTGGATCTGCTCATTTCCTGCCTGGTGACTTAGAGGATTTGTCTTCATTTGCACATCCTCCTGTGCACCAGCTTCTTCTCTCAGTCATGAAGCACTTGGTACTTGCTGAGTATTATATAATGTTCTTGTTTGTAAATGACTGGGGGCTTTGGCTGGCCACATGGCTTGATATTTTTTACTACACCAAGATCTCCACCACCCCACACCCACTGTTTCCCTGGCTGAAGATGAGGATTTTGAAGTTGGTGTCATGGCTGATACTTGGGTCTATATTGCGTGTATCCATCACTACTGGTATCTATACATAGACAATTACCCAGAAACCCATGGTTAACTTTTTCCTCCAATAATACAACTAAAATCAAGGGACTAGATATTATGCCTTTTTCACTTTATTCAAATTCATATCACACTGGCATTAATTATCTTTCTCATCACTGTTCTGCTCTTGATTTTCTCCCTGGGGAGACATGCCCAGCAAGTGAGAAGCATTACTATGGGAACCCGGAACCTCTGCAGGGGCGCCTCCATCAGGGTAATGCTGTCCATCCTGTACTTCCTAATCCTCTACTTCTCATGCTACACTGTGGTCTTTCTGAAAATTTTTCAAATATTTCAGTATGGAAGCTTAGTCTCTGCGTTTTGCACCTTGATGTGTGGCTCCTAACTATACACTGTCATCTTAATTGTAGGAAATCCTAAGCTGAACGAAAATGCAAAGAAGTTCCTGTTCTGGGGTCAGTGTGACCAGTGAGAAGGATTTCTATCAGTTGAAAGGATCTAAGAGTCAATGGCTTCCCTGTGTCTATCTCCCCTCACTTACTCAAACAGGGTTCTTGGCGATGACTGTGGTGTGGACAGGGCTGGAGTGTCCCCTAGGTACCTGTGTTAAAGTTCATTCTCGCTATGGGGAATGAAAAGGAAGAAACTTAAACCCCTGTGCTGTTTAGAGGGGAACATCTGGGGGTGTTTACAGTGGGGTGAGTCATCAGAGCAGGGTCCATGATGAACTTCTGGAGAAGAGGACCAGGCACGGAGCAGACAAAGGTGTACTCTTGCCATCTCTCACTGGCTACTGGGAAGCAGATGCATCCCGGCCCTGGGACCAGAGCCCTGAGCCAAGGAGATCCTACGTCCTGGTAACTCCCTGGCCTGCCATGAGGTGACAGATGAAACAGCACAAGGCTGGCATGGACTTCACCGGTTCTGAAGCCGGGACATGTCCTGTGCTGTCCAGCCCTGTGGACACACCATGTGCCCCAGGAGGTTAGTGCTGTGCTGCAGTCAGCCTGGCTTCCAGAGAGGGCTTTGAAACAGTTTAGTCTGGGAGGCAGCCCCTTCCTGAAGAGGGACCTGGAGGGATAGCCCTTTGTGTTTCAGAGGGGAGCCCCAAAGCTGTGCACTCTCCAGGGTGACCTGAGTCCTTCAGTGCCTGACCCAGGAGCTCTCCACAGTCTGCCGTGACTAAAAGTGGTTACATCACCTGCGAAGTCTAAGTCTGAGAGCTTCTATCTTAGGTCTGGTGGGGCTGGGGTCAGTGGTCAGCAGACGCACCCTCCCTGGGTCAGTCTCTCCCTCTGACATGGGATGTAGAAGTGGAGTCAGGGAAGGGCCGTACAAAGACAACTTCTTGTAGGTATTGCAGAAAGCATTATGAAGCCATTCCAAGGAAGGAGTGGGGTGCTCAGAGCTGGGACACCACCAAATCTGGGACAGTAGTCCAGTTTTATGGGGTAGGGGTCCTATCTCACCCTGAGGGTTGATAGTTGATTGATTGGGGTCCTATCTCACCCTGAGGGTTGGTAGTTGATTGATTGGGGTCCTATCTCACCCCTGAGGGTTGACAGTTGATTGACTGGATATTGGGCTTGTGGCTAGGGGATCAGTCCTGTGAGCTAGAGAGGAATTTTACAGAGCAGTGTATTAGGAGACATTACCTATTAGAAGGGAAATTCAAGGGGAGGCAGTAGCTTACACAGATACAAGTGTAACTCTATTAGCCTCAGACTGGAAATCTGCATAGAAATTGTTTTGTGCTCATAGCCACACAGAGTGTACATTTTCCACCCTCTAAAAAGGGCCTGGGTCTTTTACTGTCCCAAGGATCCCTTCTGACTCTGCACTTTATGAGAACATATACGACATGAGCATTGAAACAGTTTGAACGTTAAAATAACAAACTTGGTAAATCTATATATCTCCCCACAATAACTGCCCTCATTTGAGGTCACACTGGGGTTTGGATGCAGTGTGGACACATACATGTAACCCTTATAGCCTTACTTTTTAATTGAGTGATATCTTGCGTTGTATCCTATATATTTATTATATAACTACTTTAAACTTTAGGATGTCCTGATTTTCTCAGCCTTTGTACATTAGAGAATAAATAGGTAGTAGTCTTTCATTGCTGCCCATGGGATATAATGACAGCAGAAGTGATCATTTTTTAAAAAGTGTTTTTTAAAGAATACTTTGATAACATGAAGTGGAATTCCAGCTGTGGCAGAGCTACTTACTCACGGTGGAGATGAAGGTTGAGGAGCTCTGGCTGGTTCTCCAGCTGAGAAGACTCTCTGACGTCATCTGAAGGTATTCAATTCCTCTATTTGCTTATGGGGACTATGAAAGGTAAGAAGAACTAGAAAATGCAAAAGCCATCAGCAAGAAGCAAATTATTGCTGGAATATCTTGTTCTTATTTGAATGTCTCTGAACTAAATTGAGACAGCAGTGATAAAAGCAAATACACAAGACCTTCCTACTCCATTGCCTTCATGATTAGAATCTTGCTCCTCAAAGCGGTCCTACTCTAGCTGAAGATTAGAGAGAGCAAGTGACAGAAACTGTCTGAACATCTATACATCTTTAAAGAAGTGGCTGATTTTCCTCCCTGCAACATGCTGACACATCAGTTCATTGTCCATTTTCTTATAGTAGCGGCAAAGTTTCTTATTGCGGTCTTCACCAGTGGCTTCATTGTGGTGGTGAATGCGGTGGACTTCATCAGGCAGAGACAAATGGCTCCTCTGGATCTGCTCATTTCCTGCCTGATCACTTCAAGGATTACTCTGCAGGTGTTCATCTTCCTTGCACATCTGCCTCTTCTCTCCTTCATGAAACAGGAGGTATTTTCTAAGCTTAATATAATTTTCATAGTTTTTAATATTTGGGGGCTTTGGTTGGCCACGTGGCTTGGTGTTTTCTACTGTGCCAAGATCGCCACCATCCCGCACCCACTGTTCTTCTGGATGAAGATGAAGATTTCCAAGTTGGTGTCCTGGCCGATCCTGGGATCTATGCTGTATGCATCTGTCACTGCCGGCATCTTCAAAAAACAGGCGTGGACTATTACCAAAAAATTAGTTGTTGACTTTTTCTCCAAAAATGAAACTCAAACCCAGAGAATAGACATTGCACCACTTCCCATTTTGATTTTTCATGTTACAGTGCCATTAACTGTCTTCTTCATTGCTGTTCTGCTCTTGATCTTCTCCCTGGGGAGGCATGTCCAGCAGATGAGAAGCATTTTTAAGGGAACCAGGGATGCCCGCTGGGGCGCCCCCATCAGGGCAATGCTGTCCATCTTGTCCTTCCTATTCCTCTATTTCTTCCACTACACGATGGTCCTTTTGTTCTTTTTTCAAACATTGCAGTTTGGAAGCTTCCTCTTTGAGTCCTGCACCTTTGTGGCTGGCATCTACCCATCTATACACTCTGTCATCTTAATTGTAGGAAACCCTAAACTGAAAGAAAATGCAAAGAAGTTCCTGCTCTGTGGTTAATGTCATCAGTGAAAAGAATATGGATCACTTGAAAGGATCTAGGAGTCAATGGCTTTCCAGTCTGTGTCCCCTCACTCAAGCAGAAAACATTCTGTTTCCAAATGTACAGTTCATCATCAGAGCCCATGCATCCTGAGGCATGGTCAGAGATTTTCTGCCTTCACAAAGGGTGACATTGATCTGTAAAGTACAGCAAATGTTTCTGGGTCACTTCTACGTCAGTGTTCTAACTGTGATATGGAACCATCATCTTGCAAGATAAATAGTAGATAGACCTTGGCACAGGCTGTCTTTCAAGTGCATGAAAAACCACAATTCCCTCAAAGTTGAAAGTCTTGAAGAGGAAGAAAAGAATTTGCTTGAGCTTGTGGTCTCAGAAAGACACTGAATGCTGCAGCACCTCTGTTAGAAGGATGTCTAGTTTTTAATGGATTATCTGATGAAATGGGCTGATGTTCATCCTTTGTCTACCTGCGCATTTCTGTCCTCTTTATTGGAGTCACAGATAATGAAGTCCTTCTTAGACTGGAAGAAAGCCTGAGGACAAGGAGCCCTTCTATATCCCTGTGAGCATGTTCACCGTGTCCATCGTGCAGACAACCTAGATGTTATAGTGACCCTTCCTAGCAAATGATGAAAAGCCTGATAGGAGGAGGGAAAGGAGGAGGAGGAGAAGAGAAGGGGTTGAGATCTGGTTTCTTTTCCATCTCCTCTAATTGTACACCTTGGACAGACAATGGCTTGCAAAGGCTATTCTTTCTACATGTGTGCACTTGGCATGAGGACCTCTCCAATGGGTCGTGGGGAATTGGTCCTCCTACCACATGGCTTGTCTTCCCAGGGAGCAGCTCAGTATGTGGGAGGGTCTGGAGTGTCTCCATTTGCCTAACCTCATAGATGCATTTCCTGCTGGCTGACTGATGATTTTGGAAACTAAGAAGATTATGTATATTTCTAAAGCACATTTATAGCCCTTTTGAATCAGGCAAGCCAATGAAATAAAAGTGTTCTTAACTGTTCATTTGGATTCATGTGTGATGATGTATAAACTCTGATAGATTTAGATGTACAATCACTAGTAGTAAGGGTTCTAATTCTGTTTGTCAAATCCCAGACATGCAACTAACAGAGAAGTTGCTTCAGAAGACCTGGAGATTCCTGTGTCTTCTTGGCTTTGGGAATGAGAGTGCTCCGTGTCTTCCCAGGCCTTGGACCTGATTCCCAGGGAACAAAGCAGCAGCCCCCCTTCCTGTACATATCCCATGTTCCCTCCTTCCAGTAGGCAGCTCTGGGAAGGGCACAGTGTCCTGGAGGTGAATCCTGCTCCTGTTGGGAAAGGAACACAGGAGATGCACTCTTGTCCTCCTCACACCTGCCGCTCAGCAAATACCTGCTCTGTGAACCCAGGACGTGTGTTCCTGCAGGTGGGCAGTGAGAGCGGGAGCAACTTCAAACATCCCGGGAGAAATCCAAGGGAATTTTGAGTCTCAGATACCTAATTTCTGTATGATTTCTTATACCTTTGCTGCAAGATTGCTAGTTAATAGCATAACTAAAAGGTATGACTAAGTTTGTATACTTAATATTAGCAAGAGGTGTAACACAGAGAAAGTGTAGAGAATAGTAAGCCATTCTGAAAGGATTCCCCCACTTTTCTCCTTGATATAAATTTCTTACAGAAATGTAACCTAACTATGGTGCTGCTGGATGTCGCATGCAGCACTTGTTGCTGTATCTTAAAAGCAGAGGAATCTCAGTCTTTCTGTCTGGAGCCCTCTTTGTCAGGACTTAGCAGCCCTACCAAATTGTTATCGTTCTCCTCTCATCTAGGAGCAGTTTGACCTCTATGTATCTGGGCATCACCCTTACCTCTGATTTTAGAAATGGGGCCTGTTAATGTAGCATGATAATGCATGCCTAGAATTTCAGGACTTGGGGAGCCTGAGGCAGGAGGACTGCAAGTGTGAGCCATGCTTGTGCAACTTAGCAACATAACAATACCTGATCAAAAAATTTTAGAGGCTGCAGATGCAGCTCAGTGTAAAGGCTATAGAGAGTCTATAGTTTAGCTGATGCACCCTCCCTGCGCCAGTCTCTCTCTCCCACATGGAAGGAGGGAGAGGGGTCAGAGAAGGCCAGTGACAAGCCAGAGCCTTTTCTTGTAGGTATTGTGGGAGGGACTGTGAAGCGATCCCAAGGAAGGAGTGTGGTGCTCAGAGCTGCATCACCACGAAATCTGGGGCAGCAGTCCTGTGTGGTGGGGTAGGGCTCCTATCGACTTCCACCCCAGGGTCAACACTTAATTGATTGGATATTGAGCTTGTGGTTAGGATTTCAGTCTTCTGGGCTATATGAGCATTACCCAAAGCAGCTTCTTTAAGGATGTGATGTATCAGAATGGAAATCTAAGGACAGGCGGTAGCTCACACAGACACAAGTGTGACAGGCTATCAGCACTGAACTGCAAAGTTGTTTGGAAATTGTTTTGTGCTCATAGCCACACAGAGCCAAGGGCCTGAATTTTTCACTTTCCTGACGGGACCCTTTGGACCCTACACTATACAGAGACATTTAAAATGAGGGATGCAACAATTTGAATCTTAAAATAATGAACATTACAATTCTCTATATCTCCCAACCATAACCTCCCTCATTTGCTCCCACACTGGAGTTTGGGTGCAGTGTCTACACACACATGGAACCCTTATTTCCTTGTTTTTATATTGAATGATACTTCGTGTTGTATCCTGCATATTTCTTATATAACCACGTTAAATTTTAAGAGGTCCTGATTTTCGCAGCCTTTGTACATTAGAGAATTACTACGTGGAAGTCTTACATTGTGCCGTGCAATGTAATTATAGTGGAAGTAATCATTCTTTCTTAAAAGAGTGTTTTTCGAAGGACACCTTGATAATGTGAAGTGGAACCCCAGCTGTGGCACACCCAAGTTACTCATGGCAGGGGCGATGGCTGAGGAGCTCTGGGTAGTTCTCCAGCTGAGAAGACTCTCAGCAGTCATCTGAAGGTATCCAATTCCACTATTTGCTTATGGGGACCAGGAAAGTTAAGAAGAACTAGAAAATGCAAAAGCGATCAGCAAGAAGCAAATTATTGCTGGACTATCTCTTTCTTATTTGAATGTCTCAGTACTCAGTTGAGAAAGCAGTGATATAAACAAATGCACACTGCCTTCCTACTCTGTTGCCTTCAAGATTAGAATCCTGCTTCTCAAAAACATTGGGTTCTAGCTGAGGGAATCAGAGAGCAGGAATAACTGAAGCTGTCCAAAAATCTATACATCTTTGAAGATTTTCCTCCTCCCAACATGCTAACCCATCATTTCATTATCCATTTTCTTATAGCAGTGATACAGTTTCTTACGGGGGTCTCTGTAAACAGCTTCATCCTGGTGGTGAATGTGGTGGACTTCATCAAGCAGAGAAAAATGGCTCCTCTGGATCTGCTCGTTTCCTGCCTGGTGACTTCGAGGATTTGTCTACACTTTCTCATCTTCTTTGTGCACCTGCTTCGTCTCTCCATCATGAAACAGTCCACGTTTGCTGAGAGTTATATAATTTTCATGTTCGTAACTATTTGGGGGCTTTGGTTGGCCACATGGCTTGGTGTTTTCTACTGTGTTAAGATCACCACTATTCCACATCCCTTGTTCTTCTGGCTGAAAATGAGGATTTCCAAGTTGGTGCCATGGCTGATCCTGGGGTCCACATTGTACGCATCTATCAGTTCTGGCACCTATGAAAAACATGCACGGACTATTACCCCAAAATCTATGGTCAACTTTTTCTCCAAAAATGCAACTCAGACGAAAGGTATAAACATTGTACCATTTTCTATTTTGATTCTTCATCTGACATTACCATTAATCATTTTTCTCATCACTGTTCTGCTCTTGATTTTTTCCCTGGGAAGACATGCACATCACATAAAAACTATTGCTACAGGAAACAGGAATCCCCGTAAGGGTGCCACCATCAAGGCAATGCTGTCCGTCCTGTCCTTCCTAATCCTGTACTCCTCACACTATATAATGGCCATTTTGTTCTTTTTCCAAATACTGCGGTATGGAAACTTCGTCTTTTTGTTCTGCGTAGTGGTGGCTGACACCTACCCATCTGTACACTCTGTTATCTTAATTTTAGGAAACCCTAAACTGAAACAAAATGCAAAGAAGTTCCTGCCATGTGGTCAGTGCTGTCAGTGAGAAGGATTTGTACCAGTAGATAGGATCTAGGAGTCAATGGCTTCCCTGTGTCTGTCTCCCCTCACTCACTCAAAATCATCCTGTCCATAAATGTACTGCTCATTGTCTGAGGCCGTCCACTCTGACTCACTGTTCTAAATTTTCTGCCTTCAAAAACGGGTCCATTGTTCTGTACAGCACAACACATAGTGGATTACATCTATGTGAGTGTTCTGTTTGTGATATGGAACCACCATCTTATTTTGTTTTGTTTTGTTTTGTTTTTTTCTTTTTTTTTGGAACCACCATCTCGCAAGGTAAATCCTACAGAGACTTTTGTGCACAATGTCTTCCAACCACATGAAAAATCAAAATTCTGTGAAAGCTGAAAGTCTTGAAGAGGAAGAAAAGCACTTGCTTGAACTCATTAAGTCAGAAATACAAAGAAATCTGTAGCACCACTGTTGGTAGGATGTCTAATGACTGCCTCAACTGGGCTGATGGTTCATCCCTTGTCTGCCTGCATATGATTTCTGTCCTCTTTATTGGAATCACAGATAATGAAGCCCTTCTTAGACCAGAAAGGAAGCTGAGGATGGAGAGTCCTCAGTTCTTGTGAGCATATCACTGTGTCCATTGTGCAGGAAACCTAGACGTCATGGCGATACTACCTAGTATGGATAAAAAGGCTGGCAGGTGGAGGGCAAGGGGGAGGAGGAAGTGGAGAAGAGAGAGGAGATCTGAAGGCTCCTTTTCCATCTCCCATAAGTTTACACCTTGAAGAGACAGTGGCTTGCAGATGTGTTTCTTTATCCTCTTATGCACGTGGCTTTGGGACCTTTCCAGTGACTGGTGGAGATTTGGTCCTCCTACCACATGGTCATCTTCCCAGTGAGGATCATCAGTAGGTGGGAGGGCCTGGGGGTTTCCCCAGCTTGTCGACCTCAGAGATGCATTTCCTGCTGGCTGGCTGATGACGTTGAAAACTAAGAGGTTTATTTATATTTCTAAAGCAAATTCAAAGCCTTATGCTTTCAAGCAAGTCAATGAAAAAAAAAAGATGTTTTTAAGTTTAACTGTTAATTTGGGCTCATGTGTGATGATGTATAAACTGTGTTAGATTTAAATTTGTCAATCACGAGTACTAAGGATGCAAATTCTGATTTTCAAATCCAGACATTCAACTCTAAGAGAACTTGCTTCATATGCATGTGTCTTCTTGGCTGTGGGAATGAGAGTGCTCTGTGTCTTCCCAGGGACTGGACCTGATACCCAGGGAACAAAGGAGCAGCCCCCCTTCCTGTACATATCCCACATTTCCTCCCTCTGGTCAGCAGCTCTGGGAGGAGCACAGTGTCCTGGAGGTGAGCACTGCTCCTTTTGGGGTGGGAACATGGGAGATGCACTCTTGTCCTTCTCACATCTGCCGCTCAGCAAATACCTGCTCTGTGAACCCAGGACGTGTGTTCCTGCAGGTAGGCACAGAGAGTGGGAGCAACTTCAAACATCCAGCAAGAAATCCACTTGGAATTTGTTTCTCAAATACCAAATTGTGAATCCATTTCACATATCTTTGCTCTAAGTGTGCAAGTTAATAGCATAATTATGAAGGTATGACTAAGTTTGCAAACTTGTAATAGTACCAAGAGTTTTAATAAAGAAAAACCATAAAGTATGGTAAACTATCCTGAAACATAATCCCTGCTTGCTTTCCTCAATATAAATTTCTTGCAGAAATATTGCCCAGCTACTGTGCTGCTGCAGGGTGTTGTGTGCAGCACTCACTGTTAATATCAGAAGACTCAGCCTTGTCTTTCTGGAGCCCTCTTTATCTGGGCTCAGCAGCCCCCAAAGTGTTTTTGCCCTCCTGTCATCTAGGAGCACTTTGACCTTTTCCTCCCAGCACAGCCCCCACCTCTGATTTTACCCATGGTGCCTGTTAGCTAAGCCTGGTAGTGCATGCCTAGAGTTCCAGGACTCCAGGAGGCTGAGGTAGGAGGATTGAAAGTTTGATCCTAGCCTGGGCAACTTAGCAACATAGCAATACCTTGATATAAAATATTTTAGAGGCTGTGGATTTAGCTCAGTGTAAAGTTTTACATTAAATCTCCAAGACCACCTGAAGCAAAAAGGAAAGGGGGTGGGGAGGAAAAACAAAGACAAAGACAAAAAGAGGAAGGAGGTTAGGACAGAAGGGAGGAAGTGAGAATGGAAGAAAAGAAGAGGAAGAAGACAAAGAAAAAAGAAATGGAGAATGGGAGGGAGAAAGGGATGAAGGAAGGTAGGAAGCATGTGAGCAGGGTTCATGTGATGGCTGTGGTCTGGACATGGCTTGAGTGTCCCTCGAGGTTCCTGTGTGGAAGTTCATCCTGGCAATAGGGAATGAGAAGGAAGAAACTTAATCCCCTGTGCTGCTTAGCTGGGAACCTTTGGGGGTGTGTACAGTGGGGTGGGTCATCAGAACGGGGCCCGTGATGAGCCCTGGTGGCTTTGGGAGAAGAGGGCTAGGCACGGAGCAGACACAGGTGTGATCTGGGCATCTCTCCTCTGCTACCAGGAAGCAGACAGAGCCCTGCCCTAGTGAGCCAAGGAGGTCTTGTATCCTGGTAACTCCCTGGTCTGCAGGAAGTTGACAGGATGAGACAGGACAAGACATGTCTGGACCTCACTGGTACTAAAGCCAAGAGTTGTGCTGTGCTGTCCCACTAACCTCTATGTCCTGTACCCCAGGAGGGCAGTACTGTTGTGCCATCAGCCTGGTTTCCAGAGAGCGCTTCAGAACAGAGTTTGGGACAGGAGTTTGGCCCTCTTCCTGAGGAGGGGCCTGAAGGGACAGCCCTTTGGGTTTCAGAGAGGAGCCCCAAAGCTGTGCACTGTCCAGGGTGACCTGAGTCCTTCAGTGCCTGACCCAAGAGTTCTCCAAATGTGCTGTGATTAAAAGCGGTGACATCACCTGAGAAGTCTAAGTCTGAGAGCTTCTCTTGTTAGATCCAGTGGGTCTGGGGTCAGCAGTCAGCAAATGCACCCTCGGTTGGCCAGTCTCTCCCTGACATGGGAATAGGAAGAGGACTCAGAGAAGGCCAGTACAAAGTGAAAGTTTTTTTCTTGTAGGCATTGTAGGAAGCATTTCTAATCTATTCCAAGGAAGGCGTGGGGTACTCAGAGCTGTGACACCACCAAATCTGGAGCAGCAGCCCTGTTTTATGGGGGAAGGATGCCCTCTCCACCACCCTGAGAGTCGACCCGTGTGATTGGATGTGAAGCTTGTGACTAGGGGATCACTCTTGTGAACTACAGGTGAATTCTGCAGAGCAGCTCATGCTGGGGATGTTACCTGCTCAAAAGGAAATTAAGGGGGGAAGTAGCTTACACAGACACAAGTGTGATACCATTAGCTTCAAACTGCAAAGCTGTGTGGAAATTGTTTTGTGCTCATAGCCTGGACACAGAGCCTGCATTTTCTGCCCCCTAAAAAGAGCGGGGCTCTTTCACTCTCCCAAGGGATCCCTTTTGATCCTGCACTATATAAGAACATATGAAATATGAGTATTGAAGCAATTTGAATATTAAAATGACAAACATTACAATTCTGAATGTCTCCCCACAATAACTGCCCTCATTTACTCTCACACTGGAGTTTGGATGCGGTGTCAACATACACATGGAACCATTATTGCCTTGTTTTTATTTTGAGGGATACTTTGTGCTGTATCCTGCATATTTTATTACATAACTACTTTACATTTTAGGATGTCCTGATTTTCTCTGCCTTTGTACATTACAGAATAAATCATTACATTGCTGGACATAGGACATAATCATGGTGGAAGTGATCTTTTTTTTCTAAAGTGGTTTTTGAAGAATGCCTTGATAATGTGAAGTAGAGTCCCAGCTCTGGCCACAGCTAAGTTACTCATGGTGGAGATGAAGGCTGAGGAGCTCTGGCTGCTTTTCCAGCTGAGAAAGCTTTCAGCAGTCATCTGAAGTTATTCAGTTCCACTATTTGCTTATGGGGACCATGGAAGCTAAGAAGAACTAGAAGATGCAAAAGCCATCAGCAAGAAGCAAATTATTGCTGGACTATCTCTCCTATTTGAATGTCTCAGAACTAAATTGAGACAGCAGGGATATAAACAAATGCACACTGCTCTCCATTGCCTTCATCATTAGAATCATGCTTCTCAAAGGGGTCCTGCTCTATCTGAAGAGAAGCAGAGAGTATGAATAATTGAAGCTGTTCCCGAATCTATACATCTTTTAAGATTTTCCTCCTCTCAAAATGCTAACGCACCACCTCGTTATCCATTTTCTTATAGCAGTGATACTATTTCTTACTGGGGTCTTTGTAAATGGCTTCATTGTGGTGGTGAATGCAGTGGACTTCATCAAGCAGAGACAAATGGCTCCATTGGACTTGCTTGTGTCCTGCCTGGCAACTTCAAGGATTAGTAGCCAAATCCTCACCTTCCTTGCAAATCTGGCTCTTCTCTCCTTCATGGCACAGTCAGTAATTTCTAAGCTTAATATTTTCTTTATATTTTTAACTATTTGGGGGCTTTGGTTGGCCAAGTGGCTTGGTGTTTTCTACTGTGCCAAGATCACCACCATCCCACACCCTCTGTTCTTCTGGATGAAGATGAGGATTTCCAGGTTGGTGCCCTGGTTGATCCTGGGGTCTACATTGTATGCATCTATCAGTTCTGGCATCCACGAAGTATCTGCACAGACTATTATACAAAAACCTTTGCTCAAATTTTTCTCCAGAAATGCAACTCAAACAAAAGGAATAGACATTGTACCACTTTCTATTTTGATTTTTCATCTTACACTGCCATTAATTATCTTCCTCATTGCTGCTTTGCTCTTGATTTTCTCCCTAGTAAGACATGCCCAGCAGATCAGAACGACTGCTATGGGAACCAGAGATGCCTGCAGGTTTGCCCCAATTAGGGCAATGCTGTCCATCTTGTCCTTCCTAATCCTCTACTTCTCCCACTACACGATGGCCATTTTGTTCTTTTCTCAAATATTGCAGTTTGGAAGCTTCCTCTTTGAATTCTTCACCTTGGTAAGTAGTACCTACCCCCTTATACACTCTGTCATCTTAATTTTAGGAAATGTTAAACTGAAACAAAATGCAAAGAAGTTCCTGCTCTGTGGCCTGTGGGGCCATTGAGAAGAATCTATATCCGTCGAAAGGATCTAAGAGTCAATGGCTTTCCTGTTCTCTCTCCTCTTACTCACCCCAAAAACAGTCCGTTCACAAATGTATAGTTGATCATCACAGCCCATCTATCCAGAGACATGGTGAGAGATTTTCTACCTTTAGAAGAGTTAATATTGATGTGTAAAGCAACACTCATGTCTGTGGGTTGAATCTATGTCAGTGTTCTGGTTGGGATATGGAACCACCATCTTGCAAGATAAATAGTGAAGGGATCTTTGCACAGGATGTCTTCCAAGTGCTTGAAAAACTAGAATTTTCTAAAGGTTGAAAGTATTGAAGAACAATAAAAGCACTTTTTTGAATTTGTGATCTCTGAAAGACATAGAATACTATAGCACCCCTGTCAGTAGGATGTCTAGTTCTCCATGGTTTATTTGAATCAAGTGGGCAACTGTTCATCCCTTGTCTCACTGCATATGATTTTTCTCCTCTTTAATGGAGTCACAGATAATGAAACCCTTCATAGAGTGAAAAGGAAGCTAAGAACAGGGAGTCCTTCTCAGTTCCTGTGAGCATATTCACTGTGTCCATCTTGAAGAGAAGGTAGATGTCATGATGACATTACCTAGTAATGGTCAAAAAGGCTGATAACTGGAGGAAAACAAGGAGGAAGAAGTGGAGAAGAGAGAGGAGTTCAGGTAGACAATGGCTTGAAAAGGTGTTTCTTTGTGCCTGTGTGACCTTGAAGGCTTGAAGACCTTTCCAATGGATGATGGCAAGGTAGACTTTCTACCACATGGTTTGTCTTCCCAGTGTGGCAACACCAGTAGGTGGGAGGGCATGGGGGCTTCCCCCTCTCCTTGACCTCAGAGATGCATTTCCTGCTGGGCTGGCTGATGATTTTGGAAAATGAGAGGTTCATGGATATTTCTGAAACAAATTCAAACCCCTTTGTGTTCAAATAAGTCGATGAAATAAAAGAAGTTCTTAAGTTTAACTGTTAATTTTGGCTGATGTGTGATGATATATAAACCGTATTTGATTTAGGTTTGCCAAGCAGAAGTAGTAAAGATGCAAATTCTAATTTTTGAGTTTCAGACATGCAAATCATAGAGAAGTTGCTTAGAAGACCTGGAGATGTGTGTGTCTTCTTGGCTGTGGGAAATAGAGTGCTCTGTGTCTTCCCAAGGCTTGGACCTGATTCTCTAGGGAATAAAGCAGCAGTCCCCTCGTACTGTTCGTATCTCACAGTCCCTCCCTCCAGTAAGCAGCTCTGGGAAGAACACAGTGTCCTGGAGGTGAACACTGCTCCTGTTGGGGAAGGAACACTGGAGACGCACTCTTGTCCTTCTTACACCTGCCGCTCAGAAAACACCTGCTCTGTGAACCCAGCAGTGTGTTCCTGCAGGTGGGCAAAGAGAACAGGAGCAACTTGAAACATCCAGTGAGAAATCCAGGGGGATTTTGGTTCTCGGATGCCAAACTGTGAATCCATTTCTTGTATCTTTGATCTAAGAGTGCATGTTAATAGCATAACTATGAAGGTTTGACTAAGTTTGTAAATTTATAATAGTACCAAGAGCTGTAATAAACAAAAACTATAAAGTATAGTTAAACATTCTGAAAACAACACCTTGCCTACTTTTCTCAAAATAAATTTCTTGCAGAAATGTTGCCCAACTATTTTGATTCTGGATGTACTGTAAAGTACTCATTGCTGTACCTTAAAATCGGAAGACAGGTTTGTCTCTCTGGAGTGCTCTTTATTTGGACTCAGCAGCCCTGCCAAATTGTTTTCGTCCTCCCCTCTTCTAGGACCACTTTGACCTCTATCTATCCTGGCACAGTTCCCACTTCTATTTTTAGAAAGTGCCTGTCACCTAAGCATGGTAGTCATGCTTATAATTCCAGGACTCTGGAAGCCTGAGGAAGGAGGTTTGCAAGAGTGAACCTAGTCTGGGCAAGTTAACCAAAGAGCAAAATCTTGACAAAAAAGTTTTTAGTGGTTGCAGATGCAGCTCAGAGTAAAGTTTCCAGTTACATCCATAGAACCACAGGGAGAAAAAGGAAGAGGGGGAGAGAGAAAAGAGGGTAAGAACAAAGAGAAAGTAGAAAGGAAGTACGTTAGGAAGGAAGAAAAGAAGAAAGTATGAGACACAAAGAAAGAAAAAATAAAGCAAGCATGGAAGGAAGACAAGGAAGGGAGAAATGGAATGAGAGAGAATGGAATGAAAGAAGCTAAAAGGGGTGTGAACCATGTTCATGGAGATGGCTAAGGTCTGGATGAGAGTTGAGTGCCCCTGGTGGATCCTGTGTGGAAGTTCATGCTCGCTATGGGAAATGAGAAGGGGGAAACATAAGCCCCTCTGCTGTTTAAAGGGGAGCCTATAGGGATGTGTACAGTGGGATGAGTCATCAGAGCGGGGCCCATAATGAACCCTGGTCCAAGCATGGAACAGACACAGGTGTGCTTTCGCCATGTCTCCCTGCTACCTGAAAGCAGATGCTGTCCTGTTCTGGGACAAGAGCCGTGAGTGAAGGAAAACATCTGCTCCTGGTAACTACCAAGTCTGCAGTAAGGTGATAGATGAGACAGGACAACACAGGCCAGGCCTCACTGGTTGTGAAACCGGGGGATGTCCTGTGTTGTCCACCTGTTCTCCACCCCCTGTGCCTAGTGTGGCAGTGCAGTTAGCCCGGCTTCCAGAGAGGGCTTTGGAACAGAATTTGGGCCAGGAGGCAGCCTCTTCCTGAAGAGGGACTTGGAGGGACAGCTCTTTGCATTTCAGAGAGGAACCTCAAAGCTGTGCACTCTCCAATGTGACTTGAGTACTTCAGTGCCTGGTTCAAGAGTTCTCCACAGTCTGCTGTGACTAAAGGTGGTGACACCACCTGGGAAATCTAAGTGTGAGAACTTCTCTTGCTAGATCCGGTGGGTCTGGGGTCAGGAATCAGTAGGTGCACCCTCGCTGACACGGAAAGAGGAAGATGATTCAAGTAAGGCAAGTGGAAAACCAAAGTATTTTTTTCTTGTAAGTGTTGCAGGATGCAGTACGAAACCACCCTAAGGAAGGAGTGGGGTGCTCAGACCTACAACAATGCCAAATCTGGAGCAGCAGCCCTGTTTTGTGCTGTAGGGTCCTGTCTCCACACTTGTGAGCATTGACTCTTGGTTGATTGGATATTGGACTTGTGGCTAAGGGTTCAGTCTTATGGGTGATAGAGGATTTTGCAGGACAGAGTGTTTTACAGACATTACCTACTGAGAGGGACATTTCAGGGCTGTGGGTAGCTTACACACACTCAAGTGTAACAGGCTATCAATTCTATACCACAAAGTTGTTTGGAAATTGTTTGGTGCTCCTAGTCACCTGAGCCTGCATTTTCCACACTCTACAAAGGGCCTGGGTCTTTTACTCTCCCAAGGGTTCCCACCAAACCCTACACTTTATAAGAACATATAACACATGAACACTGAAATACTTTGAATATTAGAATAACAAACACTGCAAATCTAAATATCTCCCAACAATAGCTGCCCTCACTTGCTCTCACACTGGGGTATGATGTAGTGTCTACACATACATGGAACCCTTACTGCCCTGCTTTGATACTGAGTCATACTTTGGGTTGTACTCTGAATAGTTTATTATATAACTACTTTACATTTTAGGAGGTCCTTATTTCCTCAGCCTTCATACATTACAGAATATTCACCTGGGACTCTTACATCTGTGGCCTGGGAAATAATGATAGTGGAAGTGATCTTACTCTTTCAAAGTGTTTTTGAAAGAATACCTTGATAATGTGAAGTAGAATCCAAGCTGTGGCACAGCTAAGTTACTCATGGTAGAGATGGAGGTTGAGGAGCTCTGGGTGGTTCTCCAGCTGAGAAGACTTCCAGCAGTCATCTGAAGGTATGCAATTCCACTATTTGCTTATGGGGACCAGGAAAGCTACAAGGAACTAGAAAATGCAAAAGCCGTCAGCAAGAAGCAAATTATTGCCAGATTATCTCCTTCTTATTTGAATGTCTCTGAACTAAATTGAGCCAGCAGTGATATGAATAGATGCAAACTGTCCACCTTCTCCATAGCATTCATCGTTAGGATCATGCTCCTCAAAGGGGTCCTGCTCTAGTTGAAGAACAAAGAGGGTGAATGATTCAAACTGTCCGAAAATCTGTACCTCTTTAAAGCAGTGGCTGATTTTCCTCCTTCCACCATGCTAAAACATCACATCATTACCCACTTTCTTATAGCAGTGACACAGTTTCTTACTGGGGTCTTCACAAATGGACTCATTGTGGTGGTGAATGTGGTGGACTTTGTCAGGCAGAGACAAATGGCTCCTCTGGACCTGCCCATTTCCTACCTGCTGACTTGGAGGATTTGTCTCCAGTTGCTCATCTTCCTTGTGCACCTGGTTCTTGTCTCATGCATGAAACTGTTGGTACTTGCAGAGCTTAATGTAACTTTTGTTTTTGTAAATATTTGGGGGCTTTGGCTGGCCACATGGCTTGGTGTTTTCTACTGTGCCAAGATCGCCACCATTCCGCACCCACTGTTCTTCTGGCCAAAGATGAGGATTTCCAAGCTGGTGCCCCGGCTGATCCTGGGGTCTACATTATATGCATCTATCAGTACTTGCATCCAAATAAAATGTATATGGACTATTACCCAAAAAGTTTTGGCCAGCCTTTTTTCCAAAAATGCAACTGTAACCCAAGGAATAGAAATTGTGCAATTTTCTATTTTCATTTTTCATCTTATAGTGGCATTAGCTATATTCCTCATGGCTGTTTTGCTCTTGATTTTCTCCCTGGTGAGACATGCCCAGGAGATGAGAAGCATTGCTATGGGAAATAGGGACCCTACAGGGACCCCAAGAGGGGGCCCTGTACATCCTGTCCTTCCTTATCCTCTACTTCTCCTACTACATGATGGCCGTTGTGTTCACCTCTCAAGCTTTGCAGTTTGGGAGGCTCTTCATTCTGCTCTGTAACTTGA